CGCCATGATGTGTTGGCAACCATGGAAAAAGCATGTCCTCAGTGCTGTTGAGAAACCGCAACTGAGGACAATAACACAGGTGAGGTGATTACTCCACCTTTGCTAATTGAGACTAAAAACTTCATGAGTTTTCAGTGAAGAATATCATCTTCAGCTAGGTGACCTTTTGTTTGTCTATCAGATCATCAATCTCTATAACTATGCATGATAACTCTTATTGTTACGCAACCCAACACCACACTGTGGGTCCACCACTTGAAGTTGGATTTACAGTAGACCCGCTTGAAATACCCCCGGAACTCTTTGTCACTTCGTATAGTCCGGCAATGGGACGTACTTCCGCATTATGTCATATCTCCTCCTGCGATTTCTCAATAAAATACTCGACTGGAAATGCATTTCCCCACCTGTATTACTTGATTAACCCGTTACTGAGACACACGATTATGTAACCAAACAATGCGTACGCTTGAAAGTTGCGGTAAGTCAAAGGCTACGCCTTATTTTGCTTTTTCTGATCCTATTTTGATCGCACTATTTACCTACGAAAAACGGTTAACCTTTTGCTTTTATGTCCATGATAATTCTAGTGTTTTATTTTTCCATTGATCAAAGGGACTGTAGCCTAGGTGCAGAAGAAGGCACTATTGCATTCGAAAGAGGAACGCAGATATGAAAGTGACAAGCGTTTATCCAGTCCAGCCCATGTACCTAAAGCGGGTAGTGCTTTATCACATGCGGTCGCGAGTGCCAGAGCCAAACCAGTGTGGCAAGGCAACGGTTTGGCCATGTGTGGGCTAAATCTAAGAGAAGATGAGTGATGCACGTGCTACGTCACCTCTGTAGTTAATCTGTAAGTGTGTGAGCCTGCCATTTTTTCTTGCATTGCAGTTGTCGGCTATTTATGCAGATCCCTGGGGAGATTGAGCCTGATATGAAGGTTTACAAGATACCACCTACATGTCTAACACCATCCATCTGGATTAGTAAATTTAGCATATTAATAAACGGTCCCCCTTACCTTGCTAGGCTCAACAAGTGTTTCTTTGCAACCAGTGTGGAACTGACTTATACCGAACAACCTACTTGTTTGCTTCTACTATGCTTGTTTCAACACATAGATGGATAGGAATGCTGCCGCTGCATATGCTGTAGAAGTGTGGGCCGGCTGCGTGATAAGATGTCGCTCCCATCGACGTGCCTCCGGATATTATTTCTTTTGGTTTACTTTGGTTATGAGTGTATGGATGAAGCTCTGCGTGATGGCGCGCAAGGCATTGATGGTCCCATAGTAAGCTCAGGCGTACTGCGGCTGTATCCATGGTGGTCAATTAAAAAGGTAATTCTTAAACTATGGCAACATAATCGGTTTTCTCTTCGTGTCTATCAGTAACAGAACCACTTCCCAAGTATTTGGATTATTGTCCTAATTATCTTTGCTTATAATATGTAATGAAGCTGCCATCAGGTACTTATATTACAAAATATATCACATGTTTAGTTTACATCTAAGGACGACATAACCTGCAACGGTGTGTGTCAGATCGCATTGTTCCAACTTTCGACAAACGGGTACTGGTATTTGTGCACTTTGTTTTTCTCACACTAATTATTTCTTGTATTTTTGGATCCAAATTTTAAAAGTACAATTGGTCAGCTAAACATGTGTTCGAACAAAAGTACACCATCGCTAAAGTGAACCATTATGTAAGCAGTTCGCGCTACCCAGTTCTAAGCCAACAATCTCCTTTGTCATTCAAAAATGCACGGAGAAGTTTCTTTCAAGCAATAAAGCTAATCGCGAAATATCAAGTGGTTTATCCTGGCTCCATTTGATGTAAATTAAGAAGTAAGCCATCAAATAGCTAACGACGCTAGATTATCTGTTACCACTGCTTTTCTGTCGAAAACTCTGAGGTATCCGGATATTAAGGAGGTTTTATATACAAGTAAAATTTATTGATATCAAAGTGAATTTCAATTAGCCCATGTTCCATTGAGTAGTCGCTTCATGAGCGGCTAAAGGTTACGACGCATGAAGTCACCTGATATGGTTAGGTTCTTAAATCAAATTTTGCTAATGTCAGATTAAATTTGGTGCAAATCAACTTACGTACTTAAGAAAATTTAAAATTTTAACTTGGTACAATACTCATATCTGCTATCAAATCCCCGATGTAAAATATAATTATGTGTGATTCGACTGCTTGTCAGCGTGACCCAATGTTATGAAATTAATTGATATCTGTATATATTAAGGCCGGCATTTATTTTTCTTTTCCCCAGGATCTGCGTATTCGGTAGGCACCGATCTAACTTAGCGAACAAGATCAGTACAATTTCCAATTCGCTGGATAAACATGTCAACAAGCTCCACAGAGTGAAGGGCGGGATCCTGGTTTTACACGCAATGAATGGTCTTGCGCAAACCGCAAATGATGCATCCAGCGTGCTTCGCCAACGCTTCACCCTAAATTAAGAATTGAATCATCATGGCATCCGCTTTTGATTCAACGTCCGTCGCTACCGGGTTTAAACCACGTAGCATTCCCGGTAGTTAATGTGATGAAAAAGCTAATCTTTTTGCGCTTGCAAAGTTTCCTTCACTTGGACGACATAAAAACAAAGGTGTTGATGACTACGGTCATGAACTTTTCAGAACTATTGGCTCGGCTCTTTCAAGGTTGTCTCGACAACATGTAGGTTCCCACAGTGTGGAAAGATAGAGTATTCATACCTATTTATAAAAATAATAAATTTTTGGAGACTTCAAACTACTGTGAAATCACATTTCTCCTACCTTTTTCTAAATTAATGAAACTTATCATTGCAGAGACGCTCATGGGATATCTTGAGGGGCACAAGATTCCAGTGTCACAACAACACGGATTCAGCTAAAATCAATCCTACAATACAAACTTGATGTTAGCCGGAGTAAGCTGGACTTAGTTACCCTATGCCAGATTCTGAGTCGACATTTCCGCTTGGGACTTTCGGAAGCGTTTGATCATTTGGATCACCGCATTCTCCTTCTTAGCTTTGAAGCTATTTAATCGCTGACCATATATTTGTTTGGATCGGCAACTTCCTCGCTCAACCTCAGCTGCATGTGAGAGTTCGCACGCCCTTTCCCACCTGATTGACGTCCACTGTGGCGTACTTCAACTATCGTTACCGGGGCCACGTTTATTCATCACATTCGTTAACGATCTTGCCAGTTTACTGAAGCGAATTTGTTACTATTTACAAATCATGTTAAAATCTGGTATTATATCAGGACATTGGATGGTCACATGGCATTGCAGAGCGATTTCGACAGGGCTTATGCTTGATCAATCGATAACCGGCTCCAGTTCAAATTGACCCAGTGGAAATCAGTAAGCATATGCTATCGGCTAATCTATGAACATTGCATTGAGGACCAACAGTTACAAGGGTATTTCCAAGAAAACCACCTCGGGGTGATCATGCACTAAGTACTTGGTTGCTAGAGACAGGTTAAAAAGGCACCAAAATGAGCCAGTCAAAACTTTGGACTCCTACGAACGGATATTAGGAAATTTGCGCCATCAGTCTTTCCGACAATGCTGAAGGCCTTCTTAAGGCCTCAGTTGGAATATACAATCCGGTCCTGGCGTCCCTGCCACAAGCACGACGTTTATGCAATGGTAGCTCCACGACGACCGAACACGTTAGATGATTGTTCCATATTTCCTAGCAACACAGGCTGCTGTTGCTGAGATAGTTCAGTGGTGAATAGCAAAGTCAGCGAGGAGATAAAACCATGGGTTACTTAACAATGACCAACCTATCTCACTTATATCACAATATGTCGCACCTGAGCCAAAATGCTAATCTTAGAAGTCATCAGCACAAAGCGGCTACGCGCAAATGGCGGCTAGATTGTAGAGGAAATCTTTTCTCCTTGTATCCCTCGCCTGGAAAGCCCTTCTGACAAACGTTATCCTTGCCCCTATATTAACGCTATTCAAAAAATCTATTGATAGATCGCTTTCCAACTTGATTACTTGTTATAGTCAGTTCTAGTTAGAGGACGAAATGAAGTCAATTTAGCCATAAGCTTAGCGGCCCTCTCAAAAATGTGGCTGTGAGGATACATGCAGAGTTCTTCATGTAACCTGCCTGGATATATCTAAACTGACCTAACATAACACATCAACATACCATATCAAATGAGGCAAAACACAAATAAGGGTTGTTCATCCGTTTTATTTCGCACATATTTACTGAATTATAACAACATTTTAAAATAATTTTTAAGCGCATTACATTTGCACTTCAAACTATCGTCAGGCAGTGGCACCTATAAACTGGTAGACGCAAGAAATAATGATTTACTTATTCGGTGATGCTTTATATTTTAATTTTGACTCAAAGCATTCCACGGAGTTTGTCAAACATATGCATTTTAACCCGTGCCAAATAATTGATCATCTTTCAGTGTTAATGGTGAATCAATTCTACCTATGGACATGTAAAGTTGCTGTTAATGTGTCCAGTAAACTTGATGCAGAACTTAAAAACGAATACAGATTTGAAAGAAAATTTTAATTTACACCTATAAAAAATCAGAATACATATTAAATAAAGGTGTGCGCACTCTTTTTCATTTATAAATCTCTATCTCTATCCTCAATTTGATTACCACGTAGACTGAGAAATCCTCCAAATGTAACTGGGTTCTGAATACATCTTTATATCAGAACTACATGAGAGCTCAATATACAATCACAAAATCTGTATATATAATACCAATATATATACCCCCAATATACAATCACTTCTAGACTAATTTAATTTGCCGCGTAACCATAAGATGTTCTAATAAAATATTTGGTCCAGGGCAATTAAGCAATGATTGAGGACTAGTTAATGCTGCGGAGTATTTGCAATCCATTGGAAATGAGGCACACGGACGAATTGCGTTCATGATACAAAACAAGATAGGACACTTTTACTAAACCACAAATTTTGTTTACCTGGTTGATATAGAAGACGAAAACCGCTGCCTTGTTCTGTCAAATCACTGATGAACAGCAATGATATGTTGGTTCCAGGAGAGCCGAATATCCGTTTCCCAGAGGTTACCGCAAATCTGGGTGCCAAACAGTCTGTACCGTTAAACATAACGATGTAGTCATACTGGACACCGCCCCAATCCTCCAGCTGAAATATTCCAAAAGTAGAGACAGAGATATAAACTAGTAACATATCTAGTAGTTTACTTGGATAAATTAGTACTTGAAAATTATGTGGTTTTTTCACGTGAATACTTATAATATTTATTACCTAGGCTATTGCCAGTTTTCAGCAAAGCAGTGACATGGTTTTAATAATTTGTGGTTTAAAAATGCAATTTGAAGCTGATATTTTCGAAAATTCAGTGCCTATTTTGGTGGAGCTAAACGTGTATGCTGAAAACCATGCATCCTTATCAAAATAGGTATAATGGAAAGAACGCATATACTTGCGGCCTCAAAGACCGGCAGCGGGCAATGAAAAATGCATTAAGGGTATATTTTTAAAACTTACATTATGCTGTCTGGTGGGAATTAGCTAGAATCACGCTCAATTTTTTTTATTATGCCAGTGACGTAGCAACTATTTAGGCCGCCCGGGCGGTATTCCAATTTTCTGTCTGACTAAGGACAAACAAGCGCATGATTTTGATACAATCGGATCAGAGCAAAGGGCACATTGGTTTTTTGATTAAATTGTTGAGCATTTGCGAAGCAGGTAACTTGGGTGAAATTGACCATAATAATATAAGTAAGGGGATCTCTGGAAAAAAGCTTTGTATTTGGGTGACATCTGGCGCAAACGTGGTGATGCTCATGCAGAGCAACATTAAATTATTCAGCTTCCAGCTTATTTGGCATCGAATAATCAAGGGGTAAATATATTACTTCCTCTGTCACATACCGACAGAACCAGCACGGTATTCATGCACCCTTACTTTGCATCGGGTTAGAAGTTAATGCTGTTGTCCTAAAACTTTAAACAACTGGTACGTACTGGTTGGATAATACAACTTGGGTATGTTAATGACTGGGTGTAGTGTCCAAAGTTATCTTCAATATGGTTATCACAAGTACGGAAAAAGCTGATTAGGTTATGTGTTCCATGGATAATATACGCCAGAGACGTAATATCTGCCCTGTAATTTGCAACAGTACATTGCTAACCGTTTCAGGAAGCGGTCACTCAGACTTGTATTATTTTTGAAATCCAACACAGAGCGATGCACATGGTGTGGATTTTGTGGCATCAAGTACGCAGCGGTATTGTAGCCTCATCATCAACAAATTTGTCTGTCCAGCATTCTCAGACTGTTAGGCATCTAAGCTGGTAGGAAATTATGCATTACATAGACCATATAGTTAACCCCCATCTTGTGTTTCCTGCTTTCATAAAGATCCTGTTTCTTTATGTATGTTGTCCTTACAGTCTGTACCTAACCTGAGGATGCACACAATTACTAAGCGTCTGCTAGTAAATAAGGGTACCTAATTTTTCGAACGTAGTTCCCTAACACCTGATATCCTTATTGAGGGATATTAAAAAATTTCCTGACTACACCTAATAATACATGCCATTCTGGACAAGCATATTTTTTCACTTTTAATAATTGTACACTGAAGTCGATGACTTCTGAACCTGAAGGATCAGACACCATGGTGTTGGGTGGGAGCGACCTGCACTTGCCAAACTTGGACTACATCTATTTGCGACCGCCGAATGATGAGCTGCGCCCAAGTCATAGTTGAGACTCAACAGCTCAGTACTTATCACATTAGACTTGTAACGGAGCATAAGGAAAATTTTAAACACCTGACAATGAGGGCTATTGAGGGATAATGTTGGCCATTTTAGTGAGCTGATTGCTGTATCCATAAAATTATATTTCTATATGGAGGTTCTAAAGACTACCTGGAGTGCTCTTTAAAAGATACAAGTATTACTTCTTCGCATTTTTTCTAACCTTGGCGGGCGAAACTTGGCTATTTCTCGTTACTAGCCCATCAATATCAACAAAAACATTATTGCTCAGAAGCGTTAAATTTGCCCTCATCCAAATGGTCTAGCAACGCCTTAGATGTAGCGAAACTGCGTTTTAATTCAAATAGTTATGATATGATGTGACCATTTTAGCCTCGCATTATGATTTCATTGGTTACTTGACTTCAAGGTTTAGAGTTGCATATTTCCACAACATTTGCTGTAGGCTGTGGTTGAGATAAACGGTGCAGATAGTGCAGCGTACGATGTGCAGATTCAAGGCTCAACCGAGGAAGAAAATGATTCCAATCTCCGCTGTTTGTCCAAAAGCTGCAAAGAAAAAATTTGGCTAATTAGAGATCGCATAACAAAAATTCGCTTCTGTTAACTTATGCTTATATCTGAGGGATTATGTTTCACATCGGGTAGTGTTGAAATGGCACAGTCGACGCCAATTCTCAAGGGATGAGCGTAGTTGTTCAGTTTAATGACATGGTCATATCTCAGAGCTATTGCAGTCAAAGACTTTCAGACGTCACGACGTCCTGTAGGCTTTAAGTGGATTTAGGGAAAGGAGTAAGAGACTACTTCAAGACCATCAAATCCGTTCTCAACCGTAAGCCAGTGGTCGACCATTAGGAAGCGATTTTACTTCCTGACGCGCAGTGGGCGTCAGTCGTAACATATAGGTTACTGTAATACGATAAGATGAAAAAACATTAGATATTTATGCAGGGCTGTCATATAACAAGGCAGTTTACGCTCAAAGGGAAAGGTCATACTTGCAGTTGTCCCTGCTATGTCGCGCCTAATATCCTATACTTGTGGGAGGCAACTACGTATTCTGATCACAAAAAGGTTGGGTCAGACTCCAGTGAACGGTAACATAGTGCTCCACAAATATTAAATCAAACGCTTATGCTTATTATAAATAAACTAGGAGGTCAGTTGGCTTTACAATAAATACCGGGAACTCTGGTCTACAATGGCAAGCCGAATTCGCAACTGTGCGTTCATACTCCGAAAGCTTGCTGTGATAAGGCAAAGCAATTATAAAAGCTCAAGATTTGGCACATAAAGTCATGAGAACGTTAACAACACACGATCTACTGGAGCCAGCCCACAGTTGAGGCTCTTAAAAAGCAGTTATTTACTTTGTTAGGATAATAGTCTAAGCTCAATGCAGGAAAAATTTCGGATGACCGCATCAAGATCAAGGCCAGAGCCTTCGGTTTGAAAATACGTTCGCTCCGCTCTCAGGCCAGTTTCTTCCTTATTATTGTGTCATATATTGTTATATCTTGTCGTGAGTTATATAGTTCGATGTAATATTTGATTCTGCGTTATTCTGTGATATATTTAGATATATATTAGCCGTAATTTTCTCGTTTTTTGTGCTCATAGCGATTTTTCGCTCTTAGTGGTAGCGTGCCCTTATCCTGTTAGGCCAATTTTATCTCGTTGATTTTATTGTTTTAACAGTGTCGTCCTCTAGTTCACATAATTAATTCTAGCTAGTCATTTAGCGTTATACTTCGTAACTATCTGTAATAATTCAGCATAACTTCTGTGTCTCTTACTTACACGCATTTGCTCGTATCGATCGTAGTTATTTTTAAAACGACGAAGCAGTCTCCTTGTGGAATTTGCTGCAAGATCGTCGGACATAGAGCTAATGCGATTTCATGCAGTCTTTGCAGCGCAAGGCTTCATATTTCGTGCGTTGGTCTGACTGTAGATCGAAACGATAAATAAAATTTCATGTCCGAAAACGACGAATGATGCAGCTACACAGAGCAACCTCTACTCGCTGCTTCCCACCAGTTCTCAGTGACTATACCAATCCTAAATCCGCCAAATTGCTCAAATTTGGGAAACGATTTCAAAAACTGCTGAGTAATTAAGTGTGTGCCGTAACCTTGGCTTCAGTGAACTAATTTACTAAGATTGTAATAGGATGTATAGCTTCTACCGATACTTATGTCCACAAGATATGGAAGGTAGTTGAGGTACCCGCAAAGTTCGGAGAATAATCACAAACGGTAGTATTTACTAAGATGTTACCACAGAGGACTAGGTGCAGATGAAATGAAACCAGCGAGCACAGGTTTAACACGTCACTAGCTATTCTGCAGTCATCCAAGAAATAGTAGGTAGGAATACTGAACTCAGCAGTGGGCGACAAGACACATGCAGTGCGCGAATGTGTGTATAGCGCGGAGCAAACAAATGATAATGGAGGTTGTGCGTTGGAAGTTATAAGTACATCGTCCAGACCCTGTCTGACAAGTGCTTAGAAAAGAACCGAGGGATGCATTATATTACCCACACCTAGCTACCGTGATTATGTGACGGTAGTAGATTACTCTTTAGCTAGATCCAAGTAACAACGCGATTCTTGAAATTAGGATGTTGTTGATGAGAAAGCAAAAGCCATGTGGTGGACTACTGCTCTAAATGTCCGCTGTCTCGCTTTCACCATAACTTTGAAGGTTATAAATAAACGAATAGAACGAAGGATACCTAATGGCATGAGCTACCATGGGAATAATATGAGCAGGGACATGCACCGTAGCAGAAAATCCTTTTGTTTATTGGCTGCACTTTGAAAATTAGGACACTGAACTAAAGCTTAGTTCAACACGAACTTCAATTTTGTTGCGGAAATGGACACATTAGTTTGCCTATACCGCTTTGAGAATTGTTATAATTGGAGCTCAGGTAGGTTAAATCAAATATGTACATTGTTTTATTACACACACGAAAAGTGTACTGTAAGAGTATTGTGACATCAGTGCGGTTATTCGACTTAGCATGCCTTTTCTGTTTGCAGATGATATAAATATAATCTACAGATGAAACTATTTTATGTTACTCCTCCTAAGAATGGCCGCACAAAAGTGTTTCCCATTCCGGGTACACTTCTTGACATGGGAATAACAGCGCTTTGCCACAAAGTAACCGAGGTCTCAAATGCTGCGAGTAGAAACTCAACCCTTTAGCTTGTTCCCAAAAATTCAAATATGAATAGTTTACAAATTCTGAAAAGCGGAAATTCAAGATACTCTAATGCTCATACACCAAGACCTACAATCCCAATAAAAACGGTTTGACAATTTAGGATACATTTGTCGGCGTAATAACCTATGATCATATGTCGCGGTTGTTCGAAACCCGAGGGATCAATTATATTCCACGACTAATACCTTTGT